GACAATAAACTAACTATAATGTGTGATGACTATATCACAGACACACTCAAAAATGTCTTATGAAATGGCAGTGAACAGCTGGGTAATAGTTTGTTCATGACACTGAGTTACTGGAGGTAGGAGAGCTCATGACCAATGAAAAGCACTGCAGAATAACCATAAAGTACTGAGTGGCCTAATGCTGAAAAGGCAGATAAAGCTCAGTGTAGGAAAGTGTCAATGAAGAATGTGGTCAAAAAAAAGACAACCCTAACTTTACATACAAAAATATTGGCACTGAGTTGACTTTTAGTACTCAACAGCAAGATCTTAGGGGTAAAATAGTTTCATGAAAAGAAAAGCTGACTGCTCACTAAGGGTCAAGTAGGTTGGCAGAATGATAGGAATTGTTGTGAAAGGAAGAGAGAAGAAATAGAAAGCCACTGTATAAATCCATAGCTCATACACAAACTGAATGATGTACACAGTTCTGGTCTTCTCCTCTTACAAAAATTAGGATTAACAAAGGGCTCAACATAAAAAATAGCTTCTGTATGAAGGATGCTGAGACTTGTTAATCTAGTTAAGAAACTACTGAAGTCTATAAAATTGAGTGATATTGGATGATAACTAGCGATCATTGACTTTTCCCATAGAAGAACTAGAAGCCATCAGATACAGCCAGGAGTCAGCAGGTTCAAAACAAACTAAACAAACCAGTTCTTGACATAGTATGCAGTTAAGTGGTGGGGCTCCTTCCCATAGCATACTACAAATTTACATCGATTCAAAAACTACCCACACAAATTCATGGAAGACATTTGATAAACACTGAATAGAAAGATTCCACCTCTGAGAGCTGTGAGCTGAAAATTCTTGGAGACTGTGAAAGTAATCTGAGGCATGACCTGCACATTCTTACTCTATAAACTTGCATTTTTCCCAGGTCATTTGCTTCTGCCCACTGTAGAAGATGGAATTTTTGTATAAATGACCTTTAGTTTACTGAATACAACTATTTTCTCTGAGTTGTTCTCTATATTTTTCTATCAGATGAGGATTCACTACTTTTCATGAAGAACAGTCAAAGAGAATTCATCTCTAGTTGAGTAGCTGGGAACTGAACTGACCAAGACACTTTGGTTTTTAATATTCAGTGATGCCCATTGCATATTTTTCTCAGGCTGCTGAAGCTAGATCCTCAGTTTTGTCTCTTATTGGAATAGTGCTGTTATCCACATTAGTTGTTACAGCTCACAGTGTCTCTGGTTTTCAGTGATACTACCAATACTGTACTAATGTACTAAATGACGTATTATTTTGTGAAATTAAGCCTTCTAGGCCAGTTAACAATGTCTGCTTCCAGGATGTGGAGGAACATTATACGGCACCACTGGCTCTTTTGCCAGTCCCAGCTACCCAGCAACTTACCCCAACAACACTGACTGTGAGTGGGCCCTTGCTGTGCCCCAGGGACGAATTGTCACAGTGAACTTTGATTTCATCAGCATCGATGACCCAGGGGATTGCAGCAGCAACTATCTGATCCTCTACAACGGGCCAGATGCCAGCTACCCCCCTGCCGGGCCATACTGTGGGATGGTATGTATTCCCTTCTGTCTGTGACCCTGTAAGGGGTTAAAATGATTATTTACTGTTCGATATACAAGACTGTTTCCCTAATTCTGGTATGAATTCCACATGAGTGGAAGTGAAGACGCAAAGCATATGAAGCACCTTAGAAGCCTTCCAATTCAGACCGTGCAGTGACATCTAGTGGGAGACATCAAGCTAGTTTGCTCCATATTTAGTTGTATTTGTGATTTAAATAGTTGCAATACCCTGAGGGAGAAATGCAGCAGCAGTATCTACCACAGACCTGAGGCCTCTTTCAATCTATGATCCAATATGTGCCTCAGTTTTAACACTCTCAGTGGCTCTTCCAAACGATCTTCACTTTCTCTAATGCTTTTTGTTTTTCTTGTCTTGAATTTTAGGATACAAACATCGCTCCATTTACTGCTACATCTCATCAAGTCTACATAAAATTTCATGCTGAATATGTGACTTTACCATCAGGATTCCAGTTAAGCTGGGCAAGCTAGAACACTGTTAATGAGAAATACATATTACCATTCCTTGCTATACTGAAGAGACTTTAGATTGTAAAGGAGGTTTGAAATCCAGTGATGACAACTGCAGCTGAAGTAAGGCCCTTTAAAAGTTACTGTAAGTGTTACTGTTATGAATTTAGGATTCTGTCAAAAAAAAGAAAAAAGTGATCTCCTGTTGTACTGACAATAAACTATTATCTACCCAGGGAAAAGGAGTTTTTGCAATATACTTTTTATATTCTTCTACATAATTTCAAAGTTTTACAATTAATGCTATAAAAAGTGAATTAGCTGGGATAAAACTTCAACATGAAATTTATAAGAGGACCAAAGATATGAAATTGTCTTTATGTTGCTCTGAAGTTATGTGGTTTTGTTCCAAGTGCCCCTGAAAATGTCAGCTCAAGTTTTATTCAAATTGGATAAGAAGAGAAATTGGAAAAAATGCCCCTGTCCTACAGCCTCTTACACAGCTAACCGTGCTGAAGAACTTTTAGTAGCATGTGCATTGGATATAAGAACCCGGCTGAATCAGCACTTGAGCATTTACTGAAATTTAACACAGCAAGGACGTGACGTGGTTCTAAATCTTAACCACATTAAGAAGTAATGTCAGGATCAGAGCCCTAGGTTCAATATATACAAATGTCTGTAATTATACTGATTGAGTTATATTTTCAGGCTTCTAAATCTATTTTACAACTGAATATGAAAAACTTCTGAGTCTTTACCAACTATGTCACCTTTTTAGTCAACTTTTAGGCAACTTCTTAGACATTTATGAAACAGATATAACTTCAGAATAGGGGAGACATAGAAATATCAATTAATCTTTGACTACAATTAAATTTTCCTTTCCCTGGGCTAACACACATCAAACATAAAAGACGTTGTTGACAGGGCATACAGGATATACTGTTTCCCACCATGAAACATTTTTTGTCACAACCCAGAACAAATGACCAATTAATTTCCTGAATGTCAACTGTGATGGACAGGCAAGAGAAAGTCGAACCACAGCAAAGGAACATGGGCCTTATCAGAACTCTCACTTCACAACTATTACAAAGAGTCATTCACAGTGAAAGCAATTCCTTAATGTGACTATAGCAAAAATTAATTATGAAATGACAATAAAGTATAAATGGCAGTTTTAACAAAATCTAGGAACTCTTTGAAGATTTCACAGTGAAGGCCAAAAAGCTACCATTCCACAACCACATAACACTTTATAGCAGCTGAGCAGCTATTCTGGTTAAAATAAAATGTAGAAAAAACAAAGCAGGCAAAAAGGACAAGATACAAAATACAACTCAAAATCCTCTGATGGTAAGTTAGAAAGAGAGAAACCTGTTAATTCCCACTGGCCAACAGAATGAGATGTAAGCCAGTGTTTTAAAATTGTACAAGGACTAAGAAAAACTGAGCCTGTGTCCAGGTGATACTCCTGCCAACATGCCTAAATACATAATGGAAAAAAGTAGAAATACCTGGTGTGGGATCAAACTGGCAGACATCTGTTCTGCTGAGCTGCTAGCAAAACAGAAAATTCCTCTAATAAGGGAAGATATAAAAAGACCCTAATGTCAAATAAAACATTTTCAGTTTAGTAGTCCAGAAAACTTTTGCTCTGAGTCCACTTCCAAACTGATGGCATATCTGCAATCAAAGGATGATGCAATCTTTGTCCATACTGTTTATTAAAACTCACTACAGGGGATAGCAAGCAGTAAAGAAAGAAACATCTGAACTGCCTGGAGATGAAGCCACAAAATAAATTCTAAAGACAGCAATGTGTAAGTCACTCCAAGTGCAATCAAGCATGGATTGAGTTATTTGCCTACAAAGATAAGAAGGACTGTATTTCTTCCTGCATCACAGGGCTATGAATGTCTGTTTTGGCTCTGATCTTCCTATGAATCCCCATGGATTTGGTACAGTTGGTGCAGGGCAGAGAATCCCCTCAATATCTGGTTGCTGTCACTTGCTGGTAGGTGGCTGGAATGGAAACATCAGATTTTAGGCAAGAATTGGCTTGACAAGAATGTTGCCCTTTTCTGCATTTCTGCTGCAGCCTGGAGCACAGCTTGGCTGGAAGCCACAGATGAAAGGGAAGGGTATGTCTCTCGAAACAACTCCCTGCCACTGCAGGCAGTGTTCTGTGGTCCATTGATTGCTCCTGTTAAAAGTGGATCAGTCCTGTCAGAAATGAGTTCTCACATTAAACCTTGGCCTTGTCGGGAGTGTGACAGAGCATAAACTGACAAACGGAAACCTGTACATGGTTTTAATGAATGAAGTTCATTAGTGGATTTTTGAGACCGATATCAGTCACTTGTGATACAGTTCAAAGACAAAGTTTCCCAAGGACACCCCAGTCCCCGTGCTTGCTGAACTGGGGCTGGCCTCCTGCTGGCTTAGGGACTGGTATGCAGACATGATCTGGTGGCCTGTGATGTGCATGAGGCCATTCCGGTAACACAACCTTTGGCCTTAAGCTCTAGAGGGCAACTCTAGCTGAACTGGTGACTTTGCTGAAATCTGTACTTCAAAAAGGCTGATCTCACTAAGAAAAAAACCATGTTTCACTTTAAAGCAGATTAAACGCTATTGGACATCTTTCGATATGATAAATACTTGCTCTTGGCAAGACCTTTGGTCACAATATCAGATTTTATAGAATCATTGAACTTCTGCAGAATAAAAGACTGAAGAACACTGGGAATGGGAGGAAGAGAAATTTTTAAGTTTTTTTTTTAGTCTAACAATAAGTAATGATTGGTGTATCTTTAAATGTTAGAAATATTCAATACTCATGCATAATTTTATTTACAAATGAGTAAAATGCACAAGGTTATTTAGAGAAAAAAAAAAAGAAAGTCCAGCAGAGAATTTGTGCTCATGAAGACTGTTGAATGAAGCTCCTGGTACAAGGTTCAATTGATCTAGCCCAACTGACTCTCACCAAAAATAGTCAAAGTCTAAAATTAGAGTAAATTATCAAACCCATTCTTTTAAAAAAACAGGAACAAAGTAACCCACTGCTGTCCTCTAACATTTTATATGAGGAACCACAAGAGAAGTACCAACTGCAGAAGTATTAAAGTGGAGGTCCTTAGAGGAGAGAGCTAGTGCTAAGCCATGTTTCTATCTTGGAAGGTAAGGAGTAATTTAAAACGCTTTAAAATGAATGCACAGAAAACGCAAACAGGAAGAACTAAACAGATAATCTAAAAAGAATTATTCCATGAAACTTCTATGTGCTTTTTGCAGTGTACAATTCAAAAGACAAAATCTGTGTTTAATAAGATTTATAGCTTCGCTCACAATGCTGCCATGAATATCTTTGCTTTTATGTCTGTGCACATTGCTATTTTATAGATAATGTCATTGTTGTGAATGCTGCATGTCCATATTATGATACCTGCACAACTACAACCTCTCCCTGTCAATGACAAAGCACAGATAATGAAGTGCATATTTTCACTTCCTAGAGCCTGCATGTTTTCATTTTATACATAAATCGTCTTCTGCATGTTAGTATAGATATTTATTCTTATATAAAGGTAATTTTATGCGGCAGTTACATATGAACGGTAAGCCCTCTGAAGACCAGGATTTGAAGAATAAGAACTAAAAGGTCCATAACAGTGTTTTTAATTGCCCTTCCCACGTGACAGGACTAGTGTTTATAAAAAATAAATAACAAGTAATACCACAATGAGATATTGTTAAGACTATAGTTACTTGAAGTAAAGAAGACAGAAGATATTCAGCTGAAATGCTAGAAATCATGGTGCTGGTCAATTTAAAACATTAGCTAATTTTAGTTAAATTTTCAAAGCAATTTTGACTGAAAAACAGTTTTCAATTGGTTCATAAAGCAAAGGAGGAGGTGTCTAAGTTTCCCATAACAACTCAGGATAAGTGTCCTAGGCATCAGAATTAACATATTTAGCATAATTATTTTTTGTCAGCTGCTGAACTAAAACTACAGAATTATTCTGCATTCCTAATTTAAATGAAATGCAACAGAAATTCCTAGGATTGACTACTGTTCATAATACAGAACCACTGCAACAGTACAGGGTTACTAACAAGTAAGTGTTTAAAATGTTTTTAAGTGATAATTAAAATAGAGGCCAAATTTTGCTTTTATAAGAAAAAGATCAGCAAAATAAATACTGCATGCCACTTATCACACTTACTTAGTGTAATGGTGATGGATACATTTGTAGTAGCAGTGCTCAAAAGTACACAAGTGGTTTTGCAGGGGCATGTTGCTGTTGTATCGCTTTGAGCACATGCTAACCCTGCATTAATGTTGTCCATTATCACAGCTTTTCTTGGAGGGGAAAAAAGATAAAAATAGAATAATAATGCAAAACCTTGATTCCTTGGTTGGAAGAACTACCTAGGACAGTGAGAGCAAGGGCGGGGGCAGAGCCACTGATCCCCTTGCTGCTTCCCAGCACAGTGAAAGGAAGCAGTGGGAGCCACATCCAGCACTCACTGCCTGATCAGAGCAGGCTGGGAGCACTGTTGCAGGGGCAACTTTTCCCTCCTCTGACCACTACAGGGCAGCTGCAGCTCTGTCATACAGTCCTGGCCATATATCTACCTCATAGTCACCTACTTCAGCTTGCTGTCCTAAGGACAGAAGGCATACACCAGCCTCTGCAAAGAATTTAGGCATCTGCTCATCTCACATTTAAGCCAAGTGACAGATTTAGAACAAATCTGACAGATAGCAAAGATATTTTGTAGCTGTTTCATAAGCAAAAAAATCAGTAGCTTGATGGCCTAAATTGGAAAAGCCTGTACTGTGAGCTCAAGCACTGTACATGTGGGGAGTGCTCCACTGGCTTGTCCCCAGGCACAGGCTGACCAGCCTCTAGCAGGGGGTATACAACAGGAGCTAAGGATATTTGGGGCTAAAGGGGTTACAGAAGAACTTGATGGACTGGGAGAGGTGGTGGGGGATAAGAGAGGGGCCACTGGGTTACTGCAGTGGCGTAGGCCCCCTGCAGGAAATGACTCTTCACGAGTTTAACTGCTGAAGGGAAAATGTGCATAATTTTTCACGACCAAGAAATGACCTGACCCTTGGACAGTGTGGCTTGTGAACCTTCTTTCCCACTCCTTCTCAGACAACTGGTATTTAGTGCTCCACGAGATGCTGACAAACTTTAAAAGCAAAGCTCGACAGCAACTCCTCTGCCAAATCCAGCACAGACCTGACTGGGGTATGGATTTGTGCACTTACTCAGACAAAAGGTTTGCTCAAGCAGGAACCAAGTAGGTTCCATAGAAGGTATGAGTGATAGATGAACTTGTTACATAACAACAGGATAATGAAATTAGGAGGATGGTAAAAAAAACCCCACAATCCTGACAAAAGGGAGTAATGAAAATATGTTTATTAAGTGAGGAGTAATTAAATATTTCTATGGTACGGGAAGAATGTGGTTATCTAGGCAACGTACAATGTTCTGATCACTGCATAAGTGGGGCAGAGAGAAGCCAGGTGAGCTTTGCATTAGCCACAAAAACATTGTTTTGTGAGTATCTTGTTACAGTCACATGTGCTGTTTGTTGGAATAAGGAAGTTAGGACCATATTTATAGACAATAAATCTGCCTGAGCCTTTGCTACTAAATGAAGCCTGCAATCATTCTCTCTGAAATAAGAACTGCAGACATGTTAGCACCTACATCTTTGGGACAACTGACTGGTGACAGTCAGGGCATTTTCTTAGACAGAAAAGGGATCCAGATTCATGCTCCTGGAGACAAAAAAGAGCTGTATATCATTGTCTTGTGCATGTGAGTGACAGTGTGTTCTGTGCTGAGAAATCCAGATAAAAGGAAGGTCTTCCACTTGTGTCTTGTAAGAAAGACCTGAAAGCAGTCTGTTGCTACAGGAAAGGCTCAAGGTAGTAAACACCATCTGGGTGTCTAAGAAAATGCCCTGACTGTCACCATTAATGGCAGCCCATAATTAAATCCTTACATTCCCAAGAAAGGTAAAGTTGAAGTTGTGCCTCCAGAAAGTTTGTTATTTGCTGGCTCAGGCACATTCCCACTCATCATCTTTCGGCTAGCTTATTATTTTAGGCTAACATCATGGAGCACAAATGCAAAATTCAAAGCTTTAGTTCTCAACAGGTAGCCTAGCCTTAGGTAATTTTATAGATTTTGCCATTAATTGCTCTGAGCTTCCATGTCTGTGTAACAACAGGAAGTAGGAGCTTCTTATCTCCTATCAAAGATGTTACAGCATAAATACATTCTGGGCAGTAAGGCTGTGACTCCAACATCATGGTGCGACAACTAAAAGTGCTCAGAACCTGGGTCCAGCCTTGTCACTAGGTTTGCAACTAGAACTGAGTAGACAATCCACGAAGGCACCTTAAGAAATGGAAACCGCTGATTCTATGTTCCCTTTTGTTTGCTTGGTTGGGTTTTTTGATAATGTCTTTTCCCTCAGAAAGCCTTTGCCAACTTCACCGGGCTCTAAACTCCCGTTGTCCCGACCGCTCCCTCAGGGCCGGGGCGCGCCCCCGCTTTCCGGGGCGGGAGCTGCGCTGCGCCTGCGCGCGCGGGCGCTGGCGCTGGAGGCGGCGGGCGGGGCCCGGCGGGGCGGGGGCGGCGCGTGCAGACCACGGGACCCGCCGGGATCCGCCCGCTGTTTCCCCCGCAGATCCCGCTGTGTTTCCTGCCTGGTGTCCCGCCGTGTCCCCTCGCGTCCCGCCGCACCACAGCGCGGTGATCCCCTCGGGGGCAGCGGCGGGCCTGTCCCTCCGCGGGGCGGGAGGGCGGCCGGCATCCCGGCCAGTGCTCCGCTGGGCTGGGCTGGGCTGGGCGGGCTGGGGCGGGCGCGGCGAGACGGGATGGGACGAGGATGGGACGGGGCCGCCGGCGGCGCGGAGCGGGCGGGCTCGCTGCCTCGGACCCCTCGGGGCCGTCCCGGTGCTGTCCCGGTGGGAGCCCCGGCCGGCTCACGGTGTCCCTTTCTGCCCCTCCCAGACCATGTCCAAGTCGCTGAAGAAGATCGTGGAGGAGAGCAGGGAGAAGAACCAGCCCGAGGTGGACATGTGCGACCGGGGCATCTCCAGCATGCTGGACGTGCCTGGCCTGTGTAGGTACTTGGCGGGCGGGCACAGCGCGGAAACTTCCTTATTTGTCCCGGGCGATCCGGGGCCGCCGCCGGGGCCGGGCCGGGGGGACCGGGCCGCCCCGCCCCGCCCCGCTCGGCCTCTGCCCCGGACCCGCTGCCCCGGGCAGGTCGCCCGAGCCTCCTCCGTGCGGGGGAGACCTGACGCTTTGGACACCGGGGGCTTCGGGAGAGATCCGTGGGCAGGGGAACACGCCCCGCCTCAGGCTCCCGTCAGCCGTGTATGTCCAGGGGAACCCTGCACCGGAGGGACCGGCGTGGGGAGCCGGGGCTCCCTCCCGGCACCTGCAGCGCTCAGCGTTCCCTGTCGCACTGCTGGCATTCTGGCACTTGAGTGATGGGAAGACTTTGCCTCCTCTCCGCCTTGCTACCGAAACAAAAACACCAGCCAAGCAGCATCTCCACAGTTTTTAGGAAGGGATAGGGTGACATCACCCTGGGACTATGCGTGGCTGGTCTCTGAAGGAGAGGACAGTAGCACTGTATTACAAATACAGCAGCATGATACTTCAGATATTAAATAATTGCACATGCTTCCTGAACCGTGACAGGATGTTGCTGCTGGTATGTTGCATTTGCTGTGGTTAATTAACATCAAATGCAAGATACCAATAACAGCATGCTGTCACAGTTCTGGAGAACACATAAATGAAGTCAGGTGCCTTTCCCTTGCTTTTGCTTTTTCTAAAAATGCACATGATGTTATGGCACAGCCAATATGCAGGGAGTTAAAGTTGTGATTGGTTGTAGTGTGCCACAGTCTGAAATTTTCCTGAATGCATGAAGTTGTGAGACAAAAAAGCAAAATCTCAACCAACCCAGGTGCTTAAAATTGTAACTATCCTAGTTTACCTCTTTACCATGTTTGTTTAATTTGATAGCAACCAGGAGCAAATGTACATAACTCTTCTTATAAGATGGACGTGAGTATAGCTTGCTACCAGTTTGCCATTACCTGCAGAGTCAGGAGCACACCAAGGTACCTGCAGTCACATCAGTAAAAGATGAAGTCTTAAGTCCAGTTTAACAGAACTACGTTCTGTACTGAAGTTTTCATCATGTACTAATTTTTTTCCTGCGTCTGGGTTGTGTGTGGGATTTTGGGAAGATGATGTTGTAAAGACTGTACATGTGAACTCACATTAAATAGAAAGCTTCTTTGTATTTCTATTGGACGGGCAGTTATTTGAGGCAAAGTAGTGTTTAGCTCACATTAACTACAGATCAGTTTTCAGAACTATATTTATACCTGTCAGGTAGCAATAGATGTTGAGTGTGTGGGGCAGCAACAGAGTACTTGTAACAGTTGGTTTTGTTAAATAGGCTTGGCGCCTGTTATCAGCACTAAACACATAATTAATTAGTCAGCTTTGATCTTTAGGTGGGGAAAAAAGATAATGTTGAAGCATGTTGGTAATGCTAAAAAGAAAAAAAGCTTTTCTTCTGCAAAGACTGTTTTGGGTTTGTTTTTCAGGCAGAGCCAGGGACCACAAGGTGGGACACTGTGGTCCACGGATAGTCCTTGATACCAGGCTGCTAATTAAGCATCTGAGGTGTCTTTGACAGGGAGCTCCCTACATGAAGTGTAGACTCGTGGTACCCTGGTTAGGCTGCACTGCATCAGAGAAGTCTGTGTGCAGATACTCCTGGTGCACACTGAGTGACTTGATCTAGGATGGGGATTTGGGCCCTTCTCCAATTTGAGATGAAAGTTGGGAAAGGAGGAAATGATGACTGATTTCTGTTGTTAATTTATTATTCAGTTACTTTGCTCCCTGACAGAGAAAACGTAAGTTGGGGTTTTTGTTTTGATTTGGTTTTTTTAGTGTTTGTTTGGTTTGGTTTTGGTTTTTTGTTTGTTTTTTTATAGTCAAGATATTCGCTTTCTGGATGAGGAATACGTTCTGCCAGATATGCCTTTAAAAAGGTAATGAATAGGTATTACCTCTGAGTTTTTGGTAACGGTTTGAGAAAATGTTAAATGTGTTGTTTTCAAACCTGTCATCTGACTCTGAATGGGTGGTCTTTTCTAGTATAGATTGGGTATTTTGGTTGTCTCTGGCTCTCAGAAGTGGTGTGGAAGCTACATGAGTCTGACATGGTACCTTCCTTTCTTGGTGTGTTGGGTATCTTTCCAGGGCAGTGTTAAAGCTTGCCTTTTCAGCAACTTTTTTAATTTTATTTTTTTTTTCCACGAAATAAAGATCTCTGTTAAAAGCAACCATCACTATTCATGCCCAGCAACTGTTCTTTCACAGCATTTTGTCTTTTAGAAGGGCCACTAGTAGAGGTTCAGAGGTAAGCGTAAGTTTAGACTATGATTGGAGGGAACATTTTTAGCTATTTGAGGTTTAAAGACTTGGTAGCTTGGAGGATATGCCTAAGTTACTGCATTCAGTAACCCCCGATAAAGAGTTCGTCTCATGTAATTATTTAGTGATGGTAAATGCCCCTACCACAGGGGCCAGTAACTCTTAAAGGTAAGCTGCTCGCTATAGTCCTTACTCTTCAAGGAAAGGAACAAGCCTTGTCCCACTGCATGTTTGAGTACTTGCTGCAGAGTGACTAGTGAACTTGTATTTAAGCTTTCTTAATTCACTTAGAGTTACTGCAAGCACGAGGATTTGGAAGCAGAGTACCATGCAACATCTGTTTGGTGTGCCAGTCCTTCTCCTTAGGTGTAGACCTATTCTTGTCATGTGTGTTAAAAAAAAACAAAAACCAACAAAATGTGACATAGAAAACTGGTGTTATATGGGGGCAGAGAGGAGCAAAGGGCTTGGATACAATTCTCTTCTGGCTTCTCTTTTCAGTCTAATGAATTACTTGCTACAGTACAAGGCAGTCACCACTTGTATTTTCTTTTGCCTTGGCTTCCACCCTCTGTAGCAACTGTGGGAGATACAAAACAGACAACATTTGCCTCTGTCAAATACTAATGTCTCTTTCCAAATCAAGATGCAATACTTCTATCTGAAAAGAGATTGACACTTGGTATCTGAAGCTGTCTTAAGCTAGCTTAGACCTTTACATCTTGGCAACCTTTACATCTCTTCCCACTTTTGTGTTTAGCAAGAGTGGAGTTACCAGCTTATTTGTAATGTGGCATTCAGATTCCCAAAGAAAAGTTCAGTAGTTCCTTAACCACTCCTTGCCCAGGAGTTCATTAAGGTCATTAGAAATAGAGTTCTATTTTTGGAATGTCCCTCAAATCCAGGTACTTCCATGTTGCCTTCTAATGACTTAAAGTACAAACTAGAATTGTATTACAGGCTTTTAGAGCACCTAAATTTTTGATGCTTTCGGAATTGTAATACAAGAAAGCTCTTTTCAGAGAAGTTCTGTAGGAGAGATTTCATTTGAGACAGAAAATATCCCTTGATCTGAATGTTCTGTGCTTTAGCTTGTCATATTAATTCAAAGACCACGTGAAACAGTTTTAAGCATTATTATTCCAGCATATAATAAAAGAAATGTTATACCATTTGTGAGCACATATACGTGCTATAGTTGTGCATCCTCCATACACAAATAGTATTAAAAAATATCTTGCCCTGTGGAAGTGTTCTATGGTGTTGGTTTGGGTTTTTTTATTTCATATTATGACATAAATAGATGATCTTTGTTTATAAAGCACCCACTGTGGATGGGTAACAGTAGAGAGTGCCAATAGGCACCCTGTAGGGTGAACAAGCAAATTCAGCACATAGAGAATGATATGCCCTTCCCCTAGCCTAGCAGTGGTTAGAGCACTTGTTGGTAGAACTTTGAACAGCCATCAACAGCTATGGAATTGTTTGTGGGAGTATGGACCAGTCTAATGTAAGTGTCTTTTAAGAGGCTGATATGAAGAAGCTACGAATTAAGGAATTATTTTGCCCAAATAACTTGAGGCATCTGCTCTGTTGTCAGGGAGATTTACTCTGTAAGTGTTAATTTACTCTCGTTATCATTCCATCTGTAAGATATTCATATTTTGCATAAAGTACATGCTTGTGTGGTAGGAATTAACATGCCTAGAATTATTTATCAGAAAGTTAGCGTTGATATAATTGTTCATTCCTAAAATAACCAAAGCACAGAAGATGAAGCGGCAAGCTACTGTAACAATACTGAAATGCTCATCCTGCATTAACTTCCTCCAGTGGGACAGACAATGCCTTATCTTGGCTCAGAAAGATTGCTGGGGTCTTCCTGTTTTGCGGGTGTTTTTTGTTTTTTTGTCATTTATTTTACCCTGGGTTTAGTTGGGTTTTTGTTGATTTTTTTTTTTTTTTGGCAGGGGGATGGAGGTTTTTCATTTGTTTATTCTTTCCTTTTATAAAAAAAAATAGGTTGAGTAGTGTCATCCAGATATTTTATGTAAAGGTAGCTTGCAGTGCATGGCAGCAGTATATAAAAAGGCATGATGCTAGGGCCAAAAGGGAAGAGCCTAAATAATATTCTTCCTTTGGTTTGTTCTGTTTTGAAGCAATAGTGGGACTGGGACCATAATGAAAATTTGTAATTACTGTACAAGTAAATTGGCAGTAGGTATTATCCTGACTCTCAAACTTCTGTGTGAATATCTGGTGCATTCTTGAAATCACAATAACTTATTGCCTGTGTTCTAATGACTGTTATGTTACCAAGGCAGTGTCCAGGAGCTCCTCCAGAGGCATCATAGAGAGGCCATAGCAATTCCTTGTGGGAATCTCTGTACCCTTCCATTCTCAGGAGACTGGTACTCAGGCTGAATCGTCTGACCTGTTGAGTGATCTCAGCATGTCCTGCTAGTTAGGCTTACCTGGGCTGTGTGCGTCCAAACCAAAATGGCACTGAACTTTCTGATCTGATGGTGCTTGTGACTGCTTTCATTCTGCTAACAGGTTATAATTGCCTGTGTTATGTCATGAGCTTTTTCAAGGGTTACTGAAAGGGGCTGCTGTATCAGTGAGTAGAAGCTCTCCAAGTCATGTTTGATGCAGTAACAGAAATGGGGACAGGGGAGTAGCTGGATGTGTCCTTCAGTCTTGAGTTTGTCTTGTTTGTTGTGACAGTGCACAAATCTGAAGTTACTGGAGTGGAGAGAATACCTTTCCTATTTTATTTTCAGCTGGAATAGATACAGGTTCTCAGTTGCCATGTCCATAAACTAATTTCTTTCTCTCTTTATTTGCAGTTACGTTGTCTCATATCACACAGCTAGTTCTGAGTCACAACAAGCTTACATGTAAGTATATTCCTGTATTCAGACTTCATTACAGGCAGTTGAGTTGAAAAGGTGACACTGTTTGATATTTTTTTGTAATAGAACACAATGTCACTGTTAAGAGTACTTCTTGGTTTAGTGCTTCATTAAAAATAAAAAGATTGAGGATGTGACTTAGCAGCCATGTTCAACATGCCTTTTCATCTTCAGTACAGATCTGCAGTGTACTGGAAGATCTGGAATTCTCAGTCTTTACCAGTTCAGCCAGAAATCCATTTCCTACCATGGCTCCAAAGTCCTTATGTTTAGATGAGGACTTCTGAAATTTTTAACTGTACCAGAAATTACAGAGTTTGCATTTTAGTGATAATTAATTTGACTGAAGCAAAACAGATTACAGCTCCACCGCATTATGTCTATAACCAAACATATGTGAGCAAAGCCAACTGAATGTAAGCATCAGGCATGGGAGTCAAGCAGCATAATTCTGTCAAAAAAAAAAAAATCTTCTGAGTGTAAGTTTTCTCTTGCTTGTACTGCACACACCGCCTTCAGTTATTACCTTGTGAATCCTGCTTCCCACAGTGAAGAAGCCTTTAAGTGAGGTGTTGGTAAATAGCATGTAATGAGAGCAATGTAAACATGAAATGTAACTTGGTGGAGGCAGATATCAGGCTGACTTTTGCAAGGCAGAAATGTTAGTGGGTTTTGGGGTTTTTTTTGGTTGGTTGTTGGTTTTTTTTTGGTTTTGTTTTGTGTTTTTTGGGGGTTTTGTGGGTTTTTTTGGGGGGGTATTGTTTTGTTTTGTTTGGGGGTTTTTTGGTAGTAGAATGCTTCAGGTTTATCCATCAGTGTCTTGTTGAAACATTCCTGCTTCTTGGTTGCTGAAATTCAAGCAGTGAATTTTATCTCATATTGTTGCTGCATCTTCTAAAGAGAAGTGTTGGTTTTGTTGATGTTCTTGTTGTTGTCTGCTCCCTGCACATGCCAGTGGATTTCTCTCTCAACCAGTCCTTCTGTTTTTGGAACTCAATTGAAGAGTGTATGAAATGGGGAGGGGAATGGAACCACCAAAATGGGTTTGTGTTGATGAGAGGACTGGTTAGGTGCTTTAGCATGTACCCAAGGAAATCCTTACAAATTGAGATAGATTTAAAAAAAAAACACAAACAACCCCCCTCAAAAAACAATCCATTAAAACCCAACCTATTGAACTCTTGCACTACTTGCTGCATGAGCTGGAAGGTAGTATGTTATTTAAAACATATGAATTAATGCAAAAATTTCACTAAAGGCTCTAAGCATTTGCAGAGGATTAAGCATGAGGAAAAATGTAAATATTCTTAGATTCTAGTACTTAAACACTTATCTGGATGCAGTTTATTGGGTACTAATGTGTAGCTTAAAGGGTTTGTAGCAGTAAATAGATGAAACTATGGGGACTGAATGGCTGTAAGAAGTATGATTTAGTTATTCTGGGCCTTGCTTCTAGTTGTGTAGTGTCCTCTAGGTTGGCATATTGCTATTTGTTTTTGTCCCTATGGTAGTTTTCAAAGAATCTCAACTTAATTATAGATGTGACCAACAGTTTCCTGCCATCTATCAGGTAAATGATGACTGATGGGTAAACTGATGGGCAAATCAAGGGAGGAAAAATCCTTATCATCACTACTAAACATGAAGCTCTATCACTGGTTTAGGTGGTCATGAAGTTACAAATAGCTGGAAGCCGGGAGAATGTTTGGAGAAAGATTGTGGTAAATTTTCTTTGAGCATTTTGCCATCTGGCATCTGTTATAAGCCACTGATGGAGCTGGGCTGTGGGGCCATCCAGCTGGTGGCTTCTGTGTTCTCTCAGGTACTGCAAGGAGATGCCTGTCTGAACTTGAGTTGCTTGAAAGTCAGGCAGTTAATTTGATCCAGCCACTTCAGCTTTCTCTACAGACTTGGGAGGGTTGTGGGCACCTTGAGATAACAGTTCATTCTGCACACCTCTATCTAATGCTTGTGGTCAGACAGCTCACCCACAGTTGGGTACCTGGTGCTGCCAGGCAAAACTTCTCTCTGATGCTCTGGTATCTCTGTCCGAGTAGCTGCTTATCTGGCATAAGGGTGAAATGAGTTGTAAGTGTTACTGTTTGTAATCTTGACTATTCTTTCTCTGGGATTGTAAAATTCCTACAACTGTTGACATCTGACAAACTGCATCATCTCTTCCACATGACACCTTACAAATCTTAAACATAGCTAAAGGATGATTTCAGCTGAACACACAACTGGCTGGGCAGGTAGTAGGTATCTGCCTTGCTCTGAGGAAGAGGAGACAGGCTGAAACTCCTGCACAGAGACTCGAATCATGGCAAACTTGGCTTGGTCAGATCAGAGCTCGGGGAGGGGTTACATTCTTCAGCATGAGCACCAGAATAAAAAGCTAAGTAACTAACCTATGACCAACTGTGAGTCTTAGCTGTAGACCTGACTTGGAAAGATATGGTAATAAGGGGTGTCCAAGAAGGACGTGTTTGGGTTTACTTTAACTATTCAAGAAAAATCCAGAGTATACTCTTTCTTTAAAGTAGTTTAGGTTTTCAAAATACGAGTTTAAGGACTGCCACTGTTATAAATTTGTGTTATATTAAACCTCAGCCTTTAATTACTACTTTCTTCTAAAGTAGCCATTAGGTCAGCAGACTGCAAATATATGGGTTCTCTCAGCCAAGGAATTCTGTCAGCCTTTCTAATTGCTGTGTTTGGGTTTCTTTTATGGGAAGGTAAGACCACTGCTTCTCCTGAGAAGTAACTCATTGAATCTGAAACTTAGTATTCTTTCACAAATGGATGTTGACACTTAAATAGACAGCATACATTTTTAAAAGGCTAAATTTCAAGTTCATATTCTCATATTTGACACTGTTGACCTAATCTTTTAAGCTATGTAATTAATTGTCTTAGCAGATTGTTCTTAAAATGACTAGGAAGCTGATGGCAGTGACACTTGACATGCTACACTAAGGTCATATTAGCATCTTCTACTAGTTTTCTGCCATTTAAATGAGTGTTCTGCTTGCCTTTTTTTTTTTTTTTTTTCTGTTTAGAGTAAATATGTCTATCTGGAAGAATAGATACGGGTAGAAGCTGGATATGCATATTTTTATGTAAACATACTTCATATTTTTGCCAGAGAACTATTAAAAGTAAGTTAAGTTTCATTAGCAGGTATGAGGAGTTTGCACTGTTAAATCCATCATACTGCTCAGAATACTTTTGTGGTATGGATTTTGTTAATATTTCTAGTGTGGCCTTCTTACTGCATGTATGTGTCTAAATCATTCACTATCAGACGTACTCAAGTCCACATTGATTTTTTTCTGGAGCATATTAGGCTGAATTTTTTTCAGCTATCTGGTGCTGTGCTAATGGAAGAGTCTTGAACTGGCTTTTGCTCTCGGTGCCTTCTGAGTCTGTCCTTTCCTGATTGGTGAGAACTTTTTGTGCTTCAAAATCAGAAGCAAAACTCTGGGGAAAGATAAATAGCTGCAATTCTGCAGTGTTTTTGAACCAGTTGCTGCATAAGTGACAAACCTGTGATGATTCTGCTGTGGAGTCTTCTGCGAAAATCCAGTTGAAAGTGGAGGGAGAAAGTGAATATTTGTGCTTTCTTTTAACTTAACGTAGGACTTATGGGACAGTGTCTCTGTATGTTGTACTGGAAGGTTTTTATTACATCATTTAGTGATTTAAAGCCTTCTATCCAGTATACAGCTGAGAAGCAAAATTCAAGACAGTCTTAGCCTGCATAGGTTGTCTGATCCTGACCCAGGGGTCTGTTTACCCATTGGCTATCATCAAAATAAATGAAATAAAAGTCAGGGCAAATATTCCTCAAATTGGTGGAAATGAGCAGCTGAATGATAGATATCTGCCCTTCAGTGTGGTGGATTACTTTGGGTAGATGTGACCAAGTTGTCTTTGTTCTGTGTCATTTGATGCTAGCTGAGGGCCATACAGGTGACCTTCACCTCCTGCTCAGTGGGATCATTATTAGGACATGCATAGTGGTAGGGAGTTAGGGTAGCTGTGCTGGAGGAGCATGAAAGGAGTTGTAGCCACAGGACATACTTTTGTAGAAAACACACTTGATCAGTTTGATCAGTCACAAATATTGTTTCTGAATTGTATGTGCAACAGTAGTAACTTTTATGGGTATCCACTCTCCTGTTTTGTGCATTTATGCTTAGGAGTGCTTCACTCAAGTTCAAGTGGAATGTTGCTGCTCCATGGAGTGGCCTTGCCAGTCCTGTGTCAAGGAATTTGTCACAGAAGTTCTTGAAGTCAAACTTGGTCCTACTTTGTTCAGAACCCTTCAGCTAGAAGGGGTCTGTGTGGTTTCATAATGGTTCTGGGGAACATTGGGAATTGCAGAATACTGATATTCTGGGAAGGCCAGATCAGGGAGAGGAAGGGATATCACCAGGTTTGTCTGTCTGTTCTACTCTGGGTCTTGCCCCCATATTATTTCAAGCAGTGTATCACATTGTCTTGAGGGCTTAGGGTTTGTGATTTTTTTTCTTTATAAATTGATTGTGCTAGAGCAATAAATGGCTACCTTTGACTGGAAAAAAGTGCCTTTGGAGGCTGAAGTCAGCAGGGTAGATTAGGTTTCAGCTTTGTTGCCACTAGATTTGTAAGTGAGCAATAATTGGAGTAGAATTAGCAACAGAGAAACTTCCATTTATAAAGGGAACTGTTAGAGCATAAAAAATGTGGCTTATGCCTTGCCTGATGGTTTTTTTCCTAGCAGACCAGCTTTTGTGTCCTATTTTGCCATTAAGTGTGAAGTGGTACTGAACATTCTAGACTTTAGAGAGCTAGGCTAGCTCAACATTAGTCTCCAGTTGCTGAAAGCATATACAAAATTTCACACTTTAATATAGGATGTGGAATCCTTACTTGGTGTGCTGATGAAGTTTTGACAATTAAAATCCCTATGCTACATCATGAATAGGAAGAATGCTTGAAGA